CAGGGGCATTAATCTCTTTACCCTTAGATTGTCAAATTAAAAAATGGTAACAACCATCACAACAATAGCCACCCAATGTGAATGAATCAAAATTATACCTATTTTTTTTTGTCAGATTGGCAAAAAGATATATCTTTTGGTATGCTGCAAAATTTTGGTAATTAGTTTATGTGTGCCATGAGATGAAAAAGATTGAAAATCGCTGTTCTAAGCTGAATTTATATTTTTCTAAATCTTTACAGGGCTAAAGAGATATTGGTCCACTGTTGTCAAAACTTAACGGGAAATAAAGGTTAATGTGTTTAGTTTCTATCTAAACTTTCTATTAGATAGCTATTAAATTTTTTATAGCTCATTTCTAAAAAGATTAAGGCAAACTGTCTTCTTTATGTTAAAATTCAAAATAAAGCTTTTAGAAAAGATCTAAATGGAATTTCTATATGCAAATTTGTTTAAAAGTCTCAAGATCACAAAACTACTATTGCCAACTTGAACTTCACAGTTATTCTGGGTAGATGAAACATATTCTCCCTTCTTTTAAGATGAAAATAAAAATCACTGTATCAGTTTTCTATAACAAAAAAGCTATGACCTTGATAACAAGTGTTCAATAGTCTCTTAATCCCATGTTTCATCCTTGCGTCTTATTTGTCCTCCGTATGAGATATATTATTTCACAAATAAAGAAAAAAAGCAAAAACAGATCCACTGGGAGAAAGAATGTTTAATAAATGGTGTCGAAACAAATAGCTATCTGTTTGGAATAAAAATAAAACTAGATCCGTATACCTTACACCATATAGAAAAATACATATATTACTGATGGATTCAAGAGTAAAAAATAAAAATGCAAGTACCCAAAGTTCTCCATACAATTTTAGGGGGTTCACAGACTCCCTAAAGCCCATCCATGGATCTCAGATTATCTAGAAGAGACACCGTTAATCATAACTTCTATTAAAATATCAATGTCAAATACTAGACATGTTTTCAAGACCAAGTCACATGCAACCAATGAAAATGAACACATTAACTCAGTGTTGTACCTTTATAAAATTCCCAAACTGGAACTAGAAACAGAGGTGTGTCAATACAAATGGACAATGACTTAAAAAAAATTAAATAAGTTTGAGTGTATACTGTACAAGTGTACCCATATGTCTGTTAGCCTTTCAGAAATATAAAATCAGCTAAATCTGTAGTACTTAAAATTTAATATGTGTATGTTATTCTCAAACTACATTAAAATACTTAACTTTAGAAACTAGAATTTAAGTTCCAGAGGGGCAAAAGTCTTTCTTTAT